AGACTATAGAAATTATTTCCACCTCTGAATCTGGAAACACAATTCCAAGCTCAAAACATTCATCCAAGATCTTTAATGAAAATTTGAAGCCCTGGAGTCCATTCATCAGAGGCACTTAAAAGGTATTTGGATCATCTGTATTTCTCTTGAAGAAAAATGGAGAAAATCCTTCCAGACTATACTTTCACTGTGATAATTAGATGTCAGTTAACTTAGTTCAAATCCCAAGATCACAAAATCCTACAAAGTCTGAAAGGGAATACTTTTTAATGCTTCCATTGCTCCCTGTACAACAGATGATTTCAAAACTGCTCAGTAACTGATCTCACAGACCAATACTGGCAGTTTAACTGTTAGCACTGATTTGAACCTAACTAAATACATTCTACATATTCATAGGGCATCAGTATTAAATAGCTAATGTTACAGTAGCAAATAAAGATTTAACCTGATGCATAGCTTTAAAAAGAAAATTTGGATCTAAGTGTATTTGAAGTAAAATTATTGTCACACTCAGGTAATTTCCTTTTTGTTCCTGGTGCTTTGTGATTAAACATTCGTACATTTTACAAACAGCTAAATGATGAATGTAATAATTTATTAACTAATTAAAACCGTGCTTCAAAAGTGTCTTACTATGACTTCACACACACACACTTTTGGTCTCCAAAAGTACCACTTCCCCACAGTTTTAGCTGTCTTCCTCCGTGAGAAACAGGCGGTGCCCAGATACCGTGCAAGGCAGCACGTAGTTTAGTGACAACCACCATGAAGTTATTCTTGGAGTATCTTATAACAAAACTACGTTAAATGAGAAAAAGCTCAAAGTTTCATTCCCATTGTGCCAGATAATCATAAGCAGAATTCAGAGGCTTAATCAAATTGGAGTGCTACAATCTACATGGAATAACGAATTTTTAATAAGTGTGTATACTACCTTTTGGTTTATTTTAGTTACTATTCCCACCGGCATTCCAAAATGCCATGAAATAGAAGATAGTAAACACTAAGTCATCACAATTGCTTCTGGAAATTGTGAGTTTTCTTCCACTCATCTATTTATTTGTTTTCCATGCTGACTGTACTCTTGAGAGAATATCAAATGCATTTCTATTTGTCTTTGTATCATTCTCCTGTAATATATTAGGAGACCATACCAGGAAATGGGACTAAAGCAGAAGAGAAATCTGAACCTAGATTATGCTTGAAATAGGTACTTTGGGGATTAATGAGCTGCCTGTGGCTGTTAAGGCAAAAGGTGAGGAAGAATGGTAAATATCCTTTTAACATTTTCCTTTTCAGATAACAGTTGCAGAACAAAGTTGCTTGTGGAATGCAACTATTTGAGCCTATGCTGCAACTAAACGCTCCAAGAATCTTCTTGACTTCTAGAACGTTTTCAAGTTTTAAGAAAAACTTTAATTTAAAGAAAGACAATGCA